TTCACACTACATCTAATTACAAAAACCATTTTCCATGTGAATAATACAAACAATAATTACATTGAATTGCATTAGGAGGTAAGCCATCATAATGATGATATTCACCGACTTATTAATAATATGAAGCAAAAACATATATTCATTCAACTCTCAACTTAAAGGCTGAGATAACTGCTACAGCAGTGTGGTTATTTTTTGTTGAGATTGGAAGTAAAAACATTTATGATGCCTTCAACATTCAGATGCTTGGCTCTTCTCCAAGTTATAGATACAAGTGAAGCACGAGACGTTCTGGTGCCAATGTTGTTGTTCATCAAGTTTGTCACTCACAATAGAGTTCAAGTCTACAGTTTTGAATTATTATACATCGTTATATCTCTTCAGACTGATTATGTCTTATTTCCGATCATCTGCTCTTTGCGGCAGTGAATATAAGCAGCATCCTCACTGAAATACGACCTGATTGAATTTGATTAGGAATAATTGGATATTAATTTTGTCAAAGAGCTACATTTACATGCTACATAGAAGTCACCTGATATACACCAGCTGACAGATCTGCAAAACATCACGGTAAAGTTTAAGCATCGTAACAAGTAATTATCAAAAGAAGGCACCAAACCTTCTATGTACTATGACTATGTAGCACCACCAAAATCACAGAATATTCAAAATGCGTTAAATATCACTAAGGATGCCAATACGAAAACTAAAGCGCATAAGGCAAACGATATCAAAGGTATCCGATTCCCCAAGAATTATATCGAGGGACGGTCGGGAGCAAGACACGCACATCTTATCACATATTGAACAAGGATATGCATGACCATAAGAGGGACATCAATGCAATTTGGACAACTAGGAGCAGGGTGGCGCTATTAAGTGACCCACGAGTTAAGCGTGTATGACCTATACAAAACCTTGTCAGAGCAGTTTCCCACCGTCGGTTACAGTGGTATGAGGAAGGCCATGGGAACACACTACCCTTAAGAGCACGCAGCTTGTTACCAGTAACAGAAAATTAACAACCCTGCCAAAGGGCACGGATCAGAGTATACAAGATTGCACAGATTTCACCATGAAGATGCTAACCTCCGGAGGTACACGATACATATAAGATTGGTCTGGAAACACAACAGAGTATCCAACACCATCGGCACTTACACCCACCTGTGAAGAGGGCAACCAAATGTGAGTGCAAAGAAAAATGTCAAAGGAAAATGCATTTCAGAACAATAGGAAAAGTAGAAGCCTTTACCACGTGGGTGAAAGACTTGCAGAGCTTCACAAGTGGGACCTGCCGAGGTGGTAAGGATGAAACGACACGGAGACATGTTACTAACACAAACTGAAAGGGATGCTTGTGAGACACGAGAGGAGTGTGCAGAGCGCGCGAATGCATATCAGCATTGAGCACTCCGGGAAATATGGGACAAGTAATAGCAAAATACTGTTTTCTTACATACGTGTTATACAGAACATCTGGCTCGGAGGTAAGAGTTATGGGGCGACCAAGACAAACCAGTGTCAAAGATCAACCCCGAAAGTTTAGCAGAATCCTTATAGAGAAGTGGACTTCCATAAAGGAAGAATAAGGAATGACCTTGTGTGTGTAAAGCCATAGCACAAGTCTTAGATGTATAGAACTTGAAACCACGATGGGCCTCCCCGTCGTGTACTCCATACTCCAGTACGGAGTGCAGTACACGTCCTGACGATTTCTTCCTCCATAAACCACCTCGGTGACTCTGTGCATACCTTTGTTACTAACCCCACCCGTACTGGTACATGTGTCGTTGTTGCTGCTCCTTCTCAGGCAGTAGCTTACTGCTTAGCCTCGTTGTCCAGCGTTGGGAAGACACCTGTTAGGATCTCCAAAAATGTCCCGTTAAATGCCAGTATTGGCACTGTTATCCTCCCGCACCTTCCCGAGAAGCACCGTAAGCACCATCACCATGGTCATACTAGCAGCAGCACCACCATAGTAATACTTTGGTGGCATCAGGTCAGTGTTACTAGCAGCTACAGCAGCAGGAGCTCAAGTACTACCAAGGAGCACCAGGGTCCAGCAACAGTGCCAGCAGCACACCAACACGGTGCCATTCACCCAAGGTCTACAGGCCTCTCTAGCACCGGCGTGTTCCACCACTTCACCGAAAGTCTCGCTTGGCCGCCAGTTCAGGCTTCGGGAGTATTAACTCAAAACCCCCAGTACTGTTTACACAGGCTGCCAGCACCAGCGGCACAGGCCCCCCCCCCCGGCACACAGGGTCTGCCAACAGCTAAGCAGCAGCATAGGGTCTGCCAACAGCTAAGCAGCAGCATAGGGTCTGCCAACAGCTAAGCAGCAGCATAGGGTCTGCCAACAGCTAAGCAGCAGCATAGGGTCTGCCAACAGCTAAGCAGCAGCATAGGGTCTGCCAACAGCTAAGCAGCAGCATAGGGTCTGCCAACAGCTAAGCAGCAGCATAGGGTCTGCCAACAGCTAAGCAGCAGCATAGGGTCTGCCAACAGCTAAGCAGCAGCATAGGGTCTGCCAACAGCTAAGCAGCAGCACCACAGGGTCTGCCAACAGCTAAGCAGCAGCACCACAGGGTCTGCCAACAGCTAAGCAGCAGCACTACAAGGTCTGCCAGCAGCTAAGCAGCAGCACTACAGGGTCTGCCAGCAGCTAAGCAGCAGCACTACAGGGTCTACCAGCAGCTAAGCAGCAGCACTACAGGGTCTGCCAGCAGCTAAGCAGCAGCACTACAGGGTCTGCCAGCAGCTAAGCAGCAGCACTACAGGGTCTGCCAATAGCTAAGCAGCAGCACTACAAGGTCTGCCAACAGCTAAGCAGCAGCACTACAAGGTCTGCCAGCAGCTAAGCAGCAGCACTACAGGGTCTGCCAACAGCTAAGCAGCAGCACTACAGGGTCTGCCAACAGCTAAGCAGCAGCATAGGGTCTGCCAGCAGCTAAGCAGCAGCACTACAGGGTCTGCCAACAGCTAAGCAGCAGCACCACAGGGTCTGCCAACAGCTAAGCAGCAGCACCACAGGGTCTGCCAACAGCTAAGCAGCAGCACCACAGGGTCTGCCAACAGCTAAGCAGCAGCACCACAGGGTCTGCCAACAGCTAAGCAGCAGCACCACAGGGTCTGCCAACAGCTAAGCAGCAGCACCACAGGGTCTGCCAACAGCTAAGCAGCAGCACTACAAGGTCTGCCAGCAACTAAGCAGCAGCACTACAGGGTCTGCCAGCAACTAAGCAGCAGCACTACAGGGTCTGCCAACAGCTAAGCAGCAGTACCACAGGGTCTGCCAACAGCTAAGCAGCAACAGCACCACAGGGTCTGCCAACAGCACCACAGGGTCTGCCAACAGCACCACAGGGTCTGCCAACAGCACCACAGGGTCTGCCAACAGCACCACAGGGTCTGCCAGCAGGTAAGCAGCAGCACTACAGGGTCTGCCAGCAGGTAAGCAGCAGCACTACAGGGTCTGCCAGCAGGTAAGCAGCAGCACTACAGGGTCTGCCAACAGCTAAGCAGCAGCACCACAGGGTCTGCCAACAGCTAAGCAACAGCACCACAGGGTCTGCCAACAGCTAAGCAACAGCACCACAGTGTCTGCCAACAGCTAAGCAGCAACACCGCAGGGGTCTGCCAGCAGCAGCACCACCACAGGGTCTGTCAGCAGCTAAGCAGCAGCAGCACCAGATGGTCTGCCAACAGCAGCACCAGATGGTCTGCCAGCAGCTAAGCAGCAGCAGCAGCACCAGATGGTCTGCCAACAGCAGCACCACAGGGTCTGCCAACAGCTAAGCAGCAGCACCGGATGGTCTGCCAATAGCTAAGCAGCAGCACCACAGGGTCTGCCAACATCTAAGCAGCAGCACCACAGGATCTGCCAACAGCTAAGCAGCAGCACCACCACAGGGTCTGCCAACAGCAGCAACAACACAGGGTATGCCAGCAGCTAAGCAGCAGCAACAACACAGGGTATGCCAGCAGCTAAGCAGCAGCAACAACACAGGGTATGCCGGCAGCTAAGCAGCAGCACCACCACCACCACCACAGGGTCTGCCAACAGCTAAGCAGCAGCACCACCACCACCACAGGGTCTGCCAACAGCTAAGCAGCAGCACCACCACAGGGTCTGCCAACAGCTAAGCAGCAGCACCACCACAGGGTCTGCCAACAGCTAAGCAGCAGCACCACCGCAGGGTCTGCCAACAGCTAAGCAGCAGCACCACAGGGTCTGCCAGCAGCTAAGCAGCAGCACAGGATCCATTAGCATTTAACGATGGGTAATAGACCTATTTAGCTACTGGGCGAGAGCAACATTTTGTATCTATTACAGACGAGGTAATGTAGGTTGCTCGTGTTAATGTTAATTTTTTTTTTTTTTTTTTTTTTTTTTTAGTTTATTGTAATGTCAGTGCATGAATCTTGTACCAAGTATGTGTAACATACCACAATTGTCGACTTGTGATCCCTGCATTAACCTATAGTTAAATAGGTCTATTGTTAACCTGAACCGACATGGTCTGTAATCTACCCCGTTTTACAGCTGTGCTCCGAGATTACTTACAACACTCCTAGAGAAAAAAAAAAAAAAAAATTCATTTGATTTAATCTCCATTTTAAGTATTCCCATTAAACTTTCGCAATAAATTGTTAATATAATTAAGTGTATTTACGATTTTTATTGTCCAATTTATTGTATTTTTACAGTTCATATCTGCATTTTCTTTTACACAGTATTTGTGCAATTCATGTAAGATTCATCTATGATTGACTAAATTCTTTACGTTTTTACTAAAATTATTAACCTTTAAACTTATTACCATAACATTTTATGCTGTGTTCTTATAAATTGGTACGTCATTTTACTAGGCTGTACGTCGACTTATGAACACTACTTCTGGTTTATGCTTCGTTTATCAACAGTTATATTTGCTAGAACTTCATAATGTTAGATGCACTTAAATCGGTGCCGAGGTGGACAAGAAAAAACATTTATTAAGTAGTGTTTATTGGGGGGCAATGGAAGCTGTACAATACTGAGCACCAGCAGGACAACTGCTAGTGCGGCAGAACACCAAGCCTGGGCACACAAGGGCCAATTTTGTGCCGCTGATAACCACAGCAGTGACCTTGGGTGGTCAACGCTGCGCTGAAACCTTAAGTTAAAAAATGACACGACCAGCGATCCTGAACCTGACGTATTTTGAACATGAATATGACCACATCGAACTTCTACCTCAGGTTCATAATCGCTGACCTTATTGAATTGACTAACTCCCCCCCACCCCCCTAAAACTTTTCAAAACAAATGTCAAAATCTCCCAAAATGTGTAGGAGTTAATTACCCCCCCCAAATCAAGTGAAAAATTACATTAACAAAACTTAGAACACTGAGCAAATGCACAGTAATAGATATTAGGACCCAATCAATAACAGGCTAGAGCAGGTTTTCTTACTAGAAAATGTAGTTCGTTGGATATCAACACAAGATACCAGTTGAAATAAGGAATGCATGTCCCATAAAATCGTTTCCACTTTACAGATGGTTGACAACGGAAAACTACTTAAAGGAACAAATTCAATAAAATTCAACATGAGCATCAGTGGCTAGCAGAGACTAGACACTCACAGTTGTTCGAGTGTGGAAGGAATCGAGTTGATCAAGAGTGAGATGTGGTTCAGGAGAAAAGGTGGTAGTGGGAGAGGAAGCCTTTACGGGAGGGAAAAGGGGGGGTCACAAGGATTAGGGAACAATTGAGTCAACCCCCCCTCCCCTGCCACTAAATGCTTGCAGATACACACAAGCTAGCCACTTCACTAATAGCTGGAAACAAAAATAATCACTTATCAAGAGTGCAAGTTAATTCACAAGCTTCAATAATAATGTTCAGGGAAAAAATTTATTTTACAAAAGTGTTGAAACGTGTAAAGTATATATATCCACTTCATTGAACCCTTGCCAAAGTCTGAAATACATACATACATCAACACTGGTGACACAGGCAAGCCTCTCCCAAACAGTAGCTGTTATTATCCAAAAATCCAAGGGCTTACACATTTTTCTCTTTCTGTTTGCATTTGTTCAGATTGAGTAGCAGAGTTTAATAAGATGGAACATGTCTGGTTCATGTCACAGTCATAATTCCACTGGTCAACACTGGTATATCACATGTCATCCACTGCCATGAATTTCCAAGTGAAGAAACGGTGATATTCAGAGGATCCGCCATCACTGCAAAAAAAAAAAAAATTTAATTGGTTTAAATCACTGCCACCTATTAAATTTCAGTTCCCAAAGTGCAACTACTTTGGAAAATTTTACAATGTTCCATATGGAAATTAACTTTGCATCCATGTCCAGAAAAAAATAAAAACATTAAAGATGCATCCAATTATCTACCAAATTACACGTCCCAACTCCAATACGAAAAACTCTCATTCAATGTTTATAGAACAATAATTACCAAATTGTTCATATATAATCAACTTTCCCGTAGAAAAATTTAGCGCTTTAATTGTTAACGAATGTTGTCGAAGCTTTCTTACAAGCTAGACTAAACTATCCATATAAATTCATTGGTTACAATATCAACACTGACCATCAGTAAACATAGATCTTTATTGTGTACAGTAAAAAGTGAGCCTCACTGCTATGTAATCTATGTCCATACTACCTAGGTCACGCATTTCTAGTCCAAAGTCATTACTTTCATTGAGGCGCTGATCCTAAGAGCGCGCCTTTTGAGTGTACATCTTAATTGCTACCAATTTCTTGCTACACAATGTATGCATTACCTCTAATTCATGGGTAAACACCGACTAGTGCACAGTACCTCCAGGCCTTTTGTACCTCCCTCCCACTGTCCGACAATTTATATTTAACCTATTTTTGAAGTATGAATTACTTCACATCTAGTTTAACCCTTAAACTGTTAACTGTTAAACGGCCAACATCCCCAGGGTGCTCAAGAAAAATTCTGAAAAAATTATTTCTTATGACAGCGTTCAGGAAGCACAACAATCCAAATAAAGAGTCTAGCTCTTGTTGTTTAGCTGTAGTAGCCTGGGTAAGTTGTATATTCTTAGTCGAGGTATATTTTAAACCTGCCGCATACCAACACTATTTTCATCATTTAGTTTTTTCATGCTAACAGGTTGTATGTCAAAATTACTGTATTATGTAAAACTGAAAATATATGTATATACAAGTATAGATACAGACATCCACATACTAATTCATAATACATGTATATATAAGCCTGAATTTTATATACATATAGCACACATTTTGCCTCAAATATATACATGGTAATCATTCTTTTTTTGTTGCTAAAAGTTTAGTATCTCCTCTATGGCTGCCCTAAACATTCACACAATGGATGGTGATGTTGCCAAGCCATGGGCATTTTCTTACTAAGGCCCTAGAAGGAAAGTGAGAAACTCCGGATTTTTTTCCAAGATTGGTATGGTTACTGATGGTCTGAGGAAGCAGATGTGAGTATGTACAGGACTATTTTAAATATGAAAATGTGTGATTTGCACCATTTTGTGAGTTACTCCCATCATGTATGTATGTATGTACGTATTGCACTGTTTAAGGGTTAAACATTAGTTTAGATAAAATTATGCAAAAGCCTCTAAAATCCAGTACAGTACTTACAACCTAAACTGCATACTGTGCAAATTACCTAAACCACTGGAATAAATTTCAGCAGCTATAATTAGCAACTGCATGACTAAAGCTATGTATCTTTTTCAGGCACATTCTCTGCTTCAATGGCAGTATTCCCTAAAATACTAACAATTGCTATACACAGATTTATACACACAGTATAGAAGCATTGCTTTTAATTCATCCATTTCAGTACTGTAGTGCAGCAATCATTATTTAACCTAATTACAACCTATTTACAATTTTAGCGCCCCCCCCCCCAATCTCCTCCAAGATACTCAAACCAGCAGCCACAATTGGACCAACTTTCACTAGGTTCTCCTTTATATGACTCGGGTTATTCTACTAATGGTCAGAACCTATTAACCCTTGCACTGCTCCCACTACAGTGATTGGCCCATCCCATATTCTCAAATTGCCTGGAGAGGATTTAATGTGCCTCATTTTTTTAAGAGCTTTTTAGAGGAAGTCATTTGACACTAGACACCTCTGTCAATCATTTCCAATATTTGGGGGGGGGGGAACAATCCCAAACTTTCCATCCAGGGCCTCGGTAAAAAAAGATGCAGGCCATGTCTGCCACGCCAGCACACCATCCAGTGACAGCACACTGGTCAGCCATACTGTAGTTTGAAACATTGAACTTTACAGCAAGTCAGTCATTTCCACATTATGTATTTGCAGGCAAAATGTGCACTGGGCACAATAAGATTTTCACACATTTGTATAGCTTTTTATACATTTGTATCAATATACTGTACAGTATATTTACACATTTGAACATTAATATACTGTACAGTATTTCCTAATGCATACCATTTTATATTTTTTCATGATCACGTTGTAAAGGGAGGAAATTAAAAATGAACATTCCCATATGGCATCTTCATTTCTATAAAAAAAAAAATGAAACTTCTACCGGCCACTACAGCTGAACCATGACTGGTAAACATTACTGTGCTTCCTGGATACTAACAATACTGTATTAGAGCAAAAAATGTAGTGTGTTTTGCCGATTTTTTTTTAACTACCCGAGCCTGATCAACCAGGCTGTGATTCTTGTGTTAGGCTGTAAGCATCCACATACAACAGCCTGGTTGAAGACTGGGCCACGGGGGTCCTAAGTCACGAAATCGGAAGGTAACCTGCCAACACTAGCATTTTACTAGTACCTGTAGTAAAATTTACTTTGACAACCATCTTTATAAACCAATGGTGCCGGTTTGTAAAGTTTAGATCCAATGTAAGTTTTTTTTTAATGTCAATTTCCACAAGTGCATTTGTACAATTAAATCTAAAAAGAGTAATTCCAGCAGTAGAGTTGACTGAAAAGGGGCAAATGGGAGGAATAAATAGTGGCAAGTTGTCTTGCCACAAGGCCCAGTGACAGACCCATGGGGTTCATGTGCACAATTGTCCTCATTGCCTACCGACAATACCCCTACATCTTCCCCTTTTTAATGCCACATTCACTACCAAAGTTCTTCCATTATCATGTCTGAAGTGCACACTTGTTTAACACATGCCAACACTGAACACTTTCCTCCAACTCATTAACTACTGGCCATTTCAACCTGAATTTTATTATACCATTAAAATATATATATTTTAGGCCTATTGAAGAATTTTCCATAATTTATTTATGCCCTTTACTACCTTTGCCCTTCCTAACCTATAGTTACATCTAGTAATTTACTTACTCCAATACTCAACTTTCACATTTTCCCCCATATTAATATTACCAAGTAGTAGTAGTAGAAAGAAGTGGTAGATTGTGTGTGAATGTCCACTAACCTGTGAACTACACTAAGAGGCAAAATTTAGCATAGCTGCTATAGCACCCACAACTCCCTATTCACACTACTAGTCATCCACTGGCTACTATGCTATGCCTACTTCACTTGCTCCACAACTCCGCAAGTAATTACATTGAAAATAAAGCCTTTCAACTGGTCTTGGCAAATATTTGTCATGTTATATTTATCAATAAACAGGAAATGGTACAAGGCCTATTGGCTCAACCAGCCAACTATTTATGCCCAACCACTCTTAGTATCTAACCTACATTTTATACTGCATGCTCAGCAAAGTGACTTTGCAATAAAAATATTTTCACCTAAATGTCCCATCTATAGCCTAGCTAATTATTCAAACTTAATTGAAGCAGGCATTTGCCAAACTGCTACATGTAGTACAGTGGTCAATGAACACATCTTGCTTACACAAGATGTGCTCATTTTCACAGCTTTAGTCAAACCTGACCCATGATTTAAATTTAAGACCTTGTGCATTTTTGTACCTTTTTTCATATTAACCTAATTCCAAGGCTTTATTATTTGCTGGTACCTTGCCCCATTTTACTATTAACAACTGCTGCAGTTTCTCCCAAGTTACTAAAGCCACTTAATGAGCCCATTCTCAACAAAAGACCATTTCATTGCACCAGTGTCATTTCCCTAATTAAATGGAGGCATCACGCAAAGGAATGCAGTTATATATTTTATTACTATTCTATTAATCAAATATAATCACTACCACCAACGCCAAACTACTGCACCCAATGCCTCATACAAGCAGGTGTACAGTGCTCTTGTAAACTTTAACCTTGTGCCATTGGAAGGACTAAGTCCTGTGGACAACCGTATCTCCCTCCCTCATTATTAAATCTACTACTCTCTATAGCACATTGCATTTTGACATGTATCTGGCTAAAAACTTAAGAAAATGGTAGTGACATGCAAAAGTGACACGTTCCATTTTCTGTGTGGGTTCTTTGGTTGGTTAGGTTATGGCACTTGAGGAGTTTATGGGAATGCTCGCCAAAATGGTCTGATTAAATACCTTTTGTTCCCTCCAAATACTTCCCCTCAAATCTGACAACTGAGGCACCAGATTCGAGTGTTTTATCAAAGCCTTTGTAATTGCATGAAGTGCCATCCAGTTTTAATGTTAGTTATGCAGATTGCCTTTTCCACCAACTACAATCCTAAAAACTACTCTTCCAAATTAGTGATAGCCATGCTCAAGTATTAACTCCACGTTACACCTAAGGGAATGACCCAACTGATTTTAAAATAATTAAAAGTCATTACTCTATTAGAAATGGTAATGGTGTGCACAATGGAAACAATAGGCAAAGCATTAGATTTCAAAAATCAAATCTCATTAGCAGTAAAAATTTCCACAATTTGCACATTTTATTTTAGCCTTTAACAAACCCTAATGTAAATGAATCCAATCATGCCATACTTCCCATACTTTCTAAAATTCAAAAAGTCAAGGTTTCCAGAACCAATGGCCTTAAATATGCACTACTGTACAATACTAGGCTGGATTTCCCTCATTCATTTAAAATCTTTAGCAAGTACAGTAACACCAAATGGGCATCTGGTACCTTACCTCAGTAAGACAAGGAAATTAGGTAATCCCCTAGCGACTCTACAATTGATGCCACCTGAGGGTGTTGAATGGGTTCTTCAAACACTGCTACCAACACTGCTTGCAACGTCTTCATCGAGTGCATTCCAGCCTTTCCTTTCTTGCATCGGATAACCTGTAAGTAAAGAATACCCATGTGTCACCAACCACAATCTAAGACCAAGATAAGGAGATTTCCAAGATTAAAGCTAGCCCTATGTATTCTCCAATTATAGTCTAGTCTGATAAATAGGATACCCTAGAAGTTTTGAAATGCCAGGAGCTCTTCATAATTTACCAATATCCAGATATTGCACTTAAAGATATTGCAACCCAGCCCAAGACAAAATGTTTACCATCTACATTTGTTACCTGCAATGCTTCTAAATTCAATTTTAACCTACATTTGTATTATCTGAAATATTTTTCCAAGCAACCCATTTCTTGTGTTGGTATGATGAGCTATGGTACTCTCACCACTAGTCCCATTTAACAGAAAAGGCACATTTACAACATCTGAATTACGCAATTTATTATTACACTGAAATGTGTGGGGGCAAAATCTTGCTGAAGCAACCATGTGTGTAAAACTCTTACTCCGCTTAAGTAAAACAGGTAACAGTGGGCCAGCCAGAGGCTTAGGGTCCATGCAGGTATATCCCAGAGGGGGGAAAAAAAAAAAAAAAAGTTTAGAATATCTTTCCTAGTTGGTTCTACTATTTGCTGGTTTAACGCAAATCCGTCACATCTGCAAGATGTCATTTGTGTGCGACTTCAGACTGCTTCCTGGTACAGTATTCTCCCACTATAAAAGTACTGTATTTGCCATATTTTCCATGTTAGAAGTCTTGAGTTTAAATCTAGCAAAATTATGTTACGGGTAGGGTTTGTGAGGTTTTCTAAGCCATATTCTATTTTCATAAGTTGGTCTTTAAACTGCTGGAGGATTTGCATCAGATTTATATACGAGGACAATCACCACATTTAGAATTTCTATTTTGGTTATCAGCACTTCCACCATATCTTTTGTGGTTTGAGCAGCTCTGTGCAGATGAGGGTGTGATGTACAGTCTGACTCCCCCCCCCTCCCCACCTTGTAGCCTATTTCCTGTTACATCTGAAAGATTGTACTCCAATACCCATATTTCACTATCTTAATAGTCCTTAGTGAGTTTGTTAAAGCTGCAAACATGACATTTGCCTCATTTAAGAGGCCATTTAGAAGTGGCCTTTGTACTGTATTGCATGTTTTCATACCTTTTATATTGGTAAATATGAAGGATGTTGTACTTGTGGAAGTGCTGGGTATTTTACTTTGTGCTAGTATCTGCCTCAGTATCACTGTTGAAGGACAAGACCAACAGGCTCAGGAAACTGAGCAACAGCTGATTGACAGTAGATGGGAAGGACCAAAGCACTGAAGTTCAACCCCCACCCCCAAGCACTTGATCCACAGAAACAAGTCAAAATCAATCTAATCCCAGCAAAAAAAAATTTTTAATACCAGTACTGGAACAAGCCTTAGCCATCACAAACAAGTCTTAATCTTCATTAACTATTTGCTGGAAATTTAACTACAATCACACTTTGTACAGCTTTACCTTTAACTGAGGGGTTAAAGGGCTAAGCTAACCAACATATTTCCAGATTAACACTGCTAATATTTAGTTTCAAAACCTAACGTATGAATACCAAAGTTGACAAAATTGTTTATCTAAACTATTGGTACACTAAACTATCATTGCAGTCATTCCTTTGGTATCTAAAAATTACATTACCTCAGACTATCTTAACCTTCATAAAGAGCCAATTTGTGTATTGTGAAAATCAATCCCATACAACCTAACGGGGTTAAAGAAACGCTCAAGGGACAGTAATTTTTCCAAAATATGCAGTAACAAAGCCAACAACCTTTTGATTATACTACAACTTTCCAACGATTATCATTATGTACATTCCATAAAATTACTAGTTGCCAACTTTTATTGCCATGGATTTTTCAGAATAGTTTAGCCGTTTCTTCCAAATAAAAAATGTAGCTGCTAATCTAGGCTTTTAAGTGGCTAAACTATCTATATAAATAAAAATAGAAATGTTCATTTGTTCATAATCGATAATCTCCGAAAGTTCTTCACCGATTGGTTTGAAATTTTTACACAACATTCCATTCGCATCCGAGCAGGTTTTTATATACATACTACTGTATATAGATGTCATGTCTGATGGTAAAAAAACTTCCTTTATGAAAAACTTTCATGTGGGGAAATCTTTGAAACCTCTTTACTGATTTCTTTGAAATTGACACCGTTGCATTCGAATAGACGCGTCTTTTTATATACCTACTCACCTGTGACAGGAAAAAACATACATGCTTCGCCTGTAACAGGAAAAAACCTGCTTTGTTTGAAAAACAGCGCCATCTGTTTGACGTAAGAGCAACACTGTACTCTGAATGTTCACCTATTGCTTTGAAATTTTGACAACGTTCCATTCAGATACGCGCATTTTTATATATCTACTATATAGATGCCACCCCTGTGACGGGTAAAAACGTGTTTGAAAAACAGCGCCATCTGTTGCACACAAGACCATCACACACTATACTAATTATGTTACGATTCCATTGCAATATTTCCGATTTCACTGATAAATTTAATTTTCGTAGATTTCAATTTATTATCATTTTGATTTGATTATTTTGGGTGACATTGCAATCTAGCTGTGTTTACCATACCGTTCATTTTGTGAGTATAGTTTAATTTTTCATTCATTTTTTAACTTTTTCTTGTATTTCAGTAATGGGAAAATCTGGGGCCAGATTCACGAAGCAGTTACACAAGTACTTAAGAACATGTACATCTTTCCTCAATCTTTGATGATTTTGGTTACATTTATTAAACAGTTTACAAGCATAAAAACTTTCCAATCAACTGTTATTGTTATAAACAGCCTCCTGGTGCTTCGGAGCTCATTAACCTAAATAATTGTAAACAAAGCTGCCAAAGATGGAGGAAAGATGTTCAGGTTCGTAAGCGTTTGCGTAATTTCTTCGTGAATCTAGCCCCAGATCATTTGATGTTCCCAATTTTCTGATGATGCAGTGATCTGATGTTCCCATCAGACGAGGGAGTGGGGAATGGTGGGAAGGACGAGAAGACGGGGGGGGGTTAAGGGTAGGGGAGGATGAGGGGACGGGGGAGTGAGGTAGAGTGGGGAGGACGAGGGGGACAGGGGAGGATGAGGGGAACAGGGGAGGGGGGAATGGTAGGGAGGACGAGGGGAACAGGAGAGGGGGGAATGGTAGGGAGGACGATGGGACAGGGAGAGTGGGAGATAGTGGTGAGTGGGGGGAGGACGAGGGGACGGTGGGGTGGGGAATGGTTAAGAGGACGAGAGGATGCTGGGGGAGGAAAAAGGAATGAGGGAGTGAGGAATGGTTGGAAAGTCGAGGGGACGGGGGAATGGGAAATGGTTGGGAGGACGAGCGGACGGGGGAGTGAGGAATGAAGAGGAGGACTTCGAGATAGGAAGGTTGCTGTGGCCAGGTACAGCTAGTTAAAAATAAAAATTGCAAAGTACCCCTTAACTTCCAGTAGAATCCTTACCTATCAGCAACTGTGGTGAAGGTGGTTAGGAAGTAAGATCTTGCTCTTTACAACCTGCCTCCTAGCCATTTATATCCATGTTAACTGCCACTGAACACTGTTTTCGTAGTTTCCTTAAATTTGAGGATTGAGACAACCTCTTCCTTCAATACATTCACTACCACTTACACAGGGAACGAGAACATCCTTACGTCTCCAGCTTCCACGGATGTCGCCTAGTCCTACCTCTAAATAGGATTGTGTTTTCCCCACTTTCTCTATGCCCCTCAAAATCTTTCATTTAGCCATCATATGCCCCATCCCTTTATTAAGGTTGTGAAGGCAAGTTCCCTCAATCTTCCCTCATAGTTGAAACCTTTCAATTCTGGCACTAATCTTACTGCAAACTTCTGAACTATCAAGTTGCTTTGTGTGCTTCACAATGTATGGGTTCCATGCAAGTGCTGCATTCCCAAGTAATGGCCTCAAATAGGCAGTGTGTATGGGCTTTAGTCTAAAGCTTCCTTGTTTAAATTCTTAACCAACATCCTAATGTTTGCTAACTTCCCATATGCTGCTGCTTTTATCCTCTTCGCAGGAACTGCTGGTGATAATGTGTGTAAGTCTACTACCAGGCCTTTTCTTTGCATTTCAAATAAATGCCTTTCCATTATGGTGTAATTAAAAATGCATCTTTTCTCCCTTACCCATTATTACTTCACACTTGCTTGGATTGAATTCTGTTGTAAAACTAAACTACCTCAAAGCAAGTTATTCCCTGCTTGGTCCTACAGAGGATCCATATGAATTTCAGTAAAGTTGACAATAAGAACCATTGATTATTACAGAAGGCAATACGAATAATTTTATGGGAGCAGGAGACTTCTACAGTGTGTATTTCCCCAAGGTAAGGGGAAGACGTCATCGCTAGTCAACCCATCCTCTTAAAAATAACGGCACTTTTGGCTCGTATGCGCACTATGGCCAAATTTGGACATAATTTGAAATGAAATCGACTCGCAAAAGTGATGTTCTGTTCCGTTTTCTATTTGAGTCGTCCGGCTTACGCGCAGAGGTTATAAGAGGACACTTTAAATTAACGTTTTTCATAACTTTTGAAACGTTGAGAATTTCCTGCCCACCTATCAGAGGACCCTTAACTTACTGTTAAAAAATCCCAAATCTATTTTCATTTTCAAATTACATCCAAATTCGGCCATACGGGCAAACGGCCAAAAGCAACGTTCTTTTTAAGAGGACAGGTTGCGCTAGTGGCATGACGTGTACAGAGAGGACATCATCGCTAGTGCTGTGCCATGTACTGTGGGCTTGTGACATTAGTGGTCAGTAAGGGATCAAGGAGAGAACAGTCACTTCGTCTCATCCTAGGAAAGAAGGTACAGTATTTTGGAGTTTGGGTGAGAAATCTGCAAGGACCTATGAAGGAAGCAAGTGCTCAAAGCAAGAGGACAATTTGCAGCACCCATCTACTTTGTGTGTAGCAGGTTGATCAGTCCCTGATAGTCCACTGTGGTAGAAAAAAAAAAATCTA